GGGTGGGGTGAGGAAGGAGGTAAAAATTAATTGTGTAAAAAATTGAAAACTCAACATTTAACTAATTTATGAAAAATAAACATAATTAAAAAGACATGTATTTAGTCATTGCAAATTGAGCAAGCTGTAAACATGCCTCTAAATCAATAAAATAAAATAATTAAAAAAAACCTACCTAGCTAGATGATCTATATGATCAATTAAAAAGAAAATTCTAAAACATAAAAGAAACAATTAAAAAGAAACCTAGCTAGATGATCTATATGATCTACGAATTGAAATAACTAATTAAGCTTTGGAAGGCGCCTTGGGTGGAGAGCTTTGATCAGCGCAACTGGTCTAAAATCACGCCAAAACAATTCTGATCAATTCCATCGATGGCAGCGCAATAATCTGGTCCAATGCGACTATAATCGCCAGTTAAAAGTGCAGAAATGTGGTCTCCCACTAATCTGTCTATGTCAGTTAGTGATGACCAACACTTTTCATAATCTTCTTGCGTTGGTGGCTTCCATGTTGGCGGTGCCGGAACTTGTACCAGCCGGTGGTGGCGGTGGAGTCAAAGGCGGCCCAAGGTAGAACCAAAGTCGTGAGACTGCCTTCGGATGTGCCTCATGATCAACATTAGGGTTACTGTCTCCCTAACCCTACATTGAACAGCAATGCCGAGCACACAAAAAGCAACACAATGGGACTTGAAATCTTCATATTGATCAATGATATTATTCTCTCTCTCTCTCTCTCTCTTTTTGATTGAGTATGCTCAATTCAATTAAAGAGCGATAGTATTTTATTGATAAGAAAATAAGTACAAAGCAACTAAAGTACCGAATATGAATACGCAACAACAAGTTGAACTAAACTTCTTATAAGCATATGTTGATTGTGTCGTTTTATCCAACTTAGTTCAATCCCTTGGCTAAAAAATTGCGGCATACTTTGTGTGTGGATGTTTTTGAGTTTGGTAAAATCTCATCCCACGACATTGCCGAATAAATTTGAGGTCCAAACGAAAGATAAGATACGCGGCTTTGTGAACCGTGATTTCCCCAAAAGACAAGAGGAGCTTATACCTGCTACCAAACAAACAGAATCTGTTGGGAGACAAGTGTACAAGTGTGGATGTGGATCCATATAAGCCAACCAAAATCGGTAATTTCTATTTGCAGAAAAAGTAAACGTATTGATTTTGTGTCACCAAATTATTAATTATGGTAATTAGCATCACTAAATTATTGATGCTTCAGTAAATCATTATCTTAATAGATACAGTGGATTTGTCATTGTCACTAATGGATCCAATTATATCCAAATTACTTATATTTTATTCGATGGCGTCCAAATAAACAACTGTGTATTAGTAGTTTCTTGATATCCATATTTTATAATTCCAACATCAACTTCCAGATGTGTATTTCACACTTATATATAATAATAAAACTAAAAAAATCAAACAATTATATAATTATATTCCATTGTTGAGAACTAAATAAGCTTAGTTCATGACCTAGTCAAGCTAATTAGCATTTTTTAAAAGCTAACAACTCCTTTAATTAAGATACTTCCCGAGGCAGTGACCCATTAGCCTCTTGTAAAAAGCCTGTCACTTTGTTATAAGAAACAATAACAGTGACTCTGTGACGCAGGTTGCGCAATAATTTTAGGTAAAAAATTGGGATTACATTTTTCTAATTGCCTCATAGTTTGTCGGCACTTACTTTTGCGTTCCCTTTTCTTCTTTCGCATGTTATTATGTGTTACGGTAATATCATGTGGCATATGTTATGTGCTGCTATAAGTTAACTTAAATTATAAACTCTAAAATTATACACGTGTTATAATATAGGTTTATAAGAAAATCTAATTTCTAACAAGGAGTATATTTCTTTGTCCACAACACTTATTATGCGACCATGGTATGTGACAAGTGCTATAAACACAAAGGAATGTATCCCAGATTGCAAGTAAGATTCTCTTAGACATAAATTCTATATGCAATATTGTCAAAAATGTATTGATAACATGTTGATATATTTTGTTGTCGAAAATAATATCGACCCATTATAAATGATATATCAACAATTCATTTTTGATAAAGAATGGACGTCTAAACTATAGCCGGATTACTTTAATGAAATCATAATTCCACACATGTCATGCCATATTACCGCAACCACACCTAAGCAAATAGTAAAATTAAAGAATAAAAGAAGAGAGCAAACAAGTTCCAAGTTGTAGACTTATTTGGCAGTTGATTGCAACAGATGATTATTCCCGGAATACTTTATACACATATTCACTCTCTGGTCTCAACTGCAAGTTGTAAAAACACTTAAAAAACAACTAATGGTTTCCATGGAATCACACCGACCCTGCAGATTATTACCATTACTGAATCCTTCTCTTCCTCTCAAAATCTTTCTTCCTAGAGAGACAACTTTCCCGGAAAACGAAAGAAAAAACACTGCTTTCCCAGAAAATGGTCGAGCCAGAAGACGAAAGCCAAACTCCAGCCATTCCGCCAAAGTCAAAGAACATAGTGGACGACAGAGAAGCTGCGCTCATGGACTTTGATCTTGACCTCGATGCTTTTTGGCCGTTGGATCCGATTCACTTTCCTTCTAACCCCACGTCCCCGCCTTTGTTCTCGTCCACTGACCAGCCCTGTTCTCCTTTATGGGGTTTTCCTGATGGTGATGCTGATAATGATGATAAGCTCGCTGGACAAGTTGATCAAGCTCTTTCTGACCGTCCTCAATTCAGTTCCTGTGAGTAATCGGCCTAGGCGGCTAGGCGGTCGTGTCCTTTTTTAATTATTTTTTTCTTTTCTGGGTCGATCAGTTTTCTCTGTCTTTCCATTGAATTTGGTTTTTCTGAATCAGAAATGTTTTAGAAGTTTGTATGTTCACTGTGATAATCATAGAACTCAGCTGAACAAATGCTTTCCTGGGCAGTGTTCGAAAAATCGGCCTAGGCGGCTAGGCGGCCGCCTAGGCGGTCGTGTCCTTTTTTTAATTTTTTATTATATATAAATAGATTGTTTTTCCTGACTTTAAACTTTTATTTGGCATTGAGCAATAAAATTGTACTCTTAGAATTAAACAATAGAATAGTTAAGGGTCAAAAAGTGTTTCCTTTACTCGTTTCTCAATTCTCTGCAACTAAAGAGACTATACCCTGTTATACTGAAAAGGTTGCATGTTTACATTCCTGCTGGGCCAGGAATTGGATTCGGAGACTTTGGTTCCTCTGAAATGAGTTCTCCTTGTTCATTAATCTTTGTTTAATTCTATCTGGTTTGAATATTCTTAGAATTTGATGTCAACCATCTAAAAAATAAAAAGTTTATGGGAACTTTTGTCTTTTTGGCCTGAAATTCCTTGGAATTGAAAACACATTTCGTTGGCTTAACATATTGCTTCAGTTAGCATTTTGCAGTTGTTGAGTAGCAGTCAGGAGGTTCACTCATTTGAGTTTTCTCTCATATAATATCACAAAAATGCAGGTATTCCTGATCCGGGAAGGGAAATACCAAGAGAGAATGAGGACAGAAGAATGCTTACATCCCCCTCTTTGGGACTGGATCCTGTTGAAAATCCTGAAGCTTATTGCTTAATTAAAGAGAAGATCACTCAAGCTCTGAGACAGCTCAAGGAATTGACTGACCAACATGTTCTAGCACAGGTTTGGGCACCAGTGAAGAATGGGGGTCGGTATGCGCTCACAACTTCAGGGCAACCCTTTGTTCTTGATCCTCATACTAATGGACTTCATCAGTATAGGATGGCTTCTCTGATGTATATGTTTTCTGTGGATGGAGAGAGTGATGGAATGCTTGGGCTCCCTGGCCGTGTTTTCCAGCAAAAATTGCCAGAATGGACCCCAAATGTTCAATACTACTCCATCAAAGAGTATCCACGGCTTGGTCATGCTCAGCATTACAATGTTCAGGGAACCTTAGCTTTGCCTGTGTTTGAACCCTCTGGACGGTCCTGTGTTGGTGTTCTTGAGCTCATAATGACTTCTCCGAAGATCAGCTATGCTTCTGAGGTTGATAAAGTTTGCAAAGCACTTGAGGTTGGTTTATTATTTTATTTTCTGAGCATATATTAGTATTACATATTGTGTCATGCTCTTATTTAAACAAGCTTAGTGTACTTATTTGGTAAATTGATGGCTTTTGTTTTCATTTGAATACTAATACTGTTATATGAGTGAGCTTCAAACACGAAGAGGTTTGTCAGTGAAAAAATTGCAATTCTCGTGCAGGCAGTAAGTCTGAAAAGTTCAGAGATATTGGATCATACAAGCATGCAGGTGAGCTGCAATTACAATGTGTGCCTAATTTGGTATTCTTTTGGAACACAAGAAAGTAAATATGGATTTCTTCTTTCATTTCCTCCTCCTCCATTCTCACAGATATATGCTTGGCACTTCTTGTAACCAGATTCAAATATGCAATGAAGGTCGCCAAACTGCATTGACTGAAATCTTGGAGATACTGACAGTGGTTTGTGAAACTCACAAATTACCGCTTGCTCAGACCTGGGTTCCTTGTATGCATCGCAATGTTTTGGCATATGGTGGTGGCCTGAAGAAGAGCTGTACTAGCTTTGATGGTAGTTGCATGGAACAGGTTTGCATGTCCACAACTGATGCGGCATTCTACATTGTCGATGCTCCTATGTGGCATTTTCGAGAGGCCTGTGTTGAGCATCACTTACAAAAGGGTCAAGGGGTTGCTGGGAGGGCTTTTTTGTCCCATAACGCATGCTTCTGCAGAGACATTACCCAGTTCTGCAAAACTGACTACCCTTTAGTACACTACGCACGCATGTTTAAGTTAACCAGCTGTTTTGCAATCTGCTTACAGAGCACTCATACTGGAAATGATGATTACATTCTAGAATTTTTTCTTCCCCCGAGCATCACAGACAGTTATGAACAACAAACTTTGTTGGGCTCCTTATTGGCAATAATAAAGAATCATTTCCAGAGTCTCAAGGTTGCTTCCGGAATTATACTTGAAGAGGAAGGGCTTGTCGAAATGGTTCAAGCTTCTACAAACAAGGAACTTGAGTCAAGACTTGAATGTATACGTATACCCCGTTCCGCGGAAACACCACCAGGGCCTACCTTACCTAATGGAGAAGAGATGGTGCAGCTAGATTCATCAAAGCCACAGTTAATGGTGGACTTTGATCCTGCAAATGATGGGAGCAATGCTGTTAATGAGGGTGGAGAAAACAATATTTCTTGTCCAGAGAATAAAGACATAAGAAAGAAATCAGAAAAGAAACGAGGAAAAGCAGAGAAATCAATTAGTCTAGAGGTTCTCCAACAATATTTTGCTGGGAGTCTTAAAGATGCTGCTAAGAGCCTTGGAGGTATGCTTATGCACTTAACATATTGTTTCTTACAATTATGCTCATGTTGTCTCAACAAATGCTAAAATCTTTATTTACAAAAAGCTTGTTTTTTTTGTTTCAGTAGCAATTGAGATAAATTGTTCTGAACGAAATTCTTGCTTTGCAGTTTGTCCTACTACAATGAAGCGCATATGTAGGCATCATGGAATCTCCCGCTGGCCATCTCGCAAGATCAAGAAGGTCAACCATTCTCTCTCTAAGCTACAGCGTGTAATTGAATCAGTCCAAGGTGCTGAAGGAGCATTTGGTTTAACTTCTCTTACTGCAAGTCCACGTTCTGGTGCTGTCGGGTCAATTTCTCGGCCTTATATCTTAAATGGGTCTAATCAGCAAAGCTCACCAAGGTCTAAACCCAGTGAACTTCATGGTGAAAAGAAAGACTCACCCACCCCTACTACACCAGGAACAGAGGGGCAGGCTTGGATAGAAAATCAGTTGCTAGATGGGGGGATTCTGCAGGAGGAACTTCTTCTGGAACATGGCAGGTTTCTGCTAGACGATGGTAAAGGCTCAAACACATCCAAAACGGGAAGCAGCTCAAGGGAGGCGAGTGCTGGTACCCCTACTTCTCATGGATCATGCCAAGGTAGTCCTGCAAATGGAAATGCGTTGGTAAACAATACCTTTGTTTCTTCCATCCATGGTCAATGCATCGAAGTGAATGGCTTCCCTGAATCAGCAGTTCGACCACCAAAGGAACTGAATTTATCAGTTGCATGCTCAATACCCGATGCTGTCCTGATGACAGATCCCGAAGAACCATGTAGAGGAATGCTAATAGAGGATGCTGGAAGTTCAAAAGATTTGAAAAATCTGTGTCCTCAAGCAGACGCCATGGTGGACGAGCAAGTTCCAGAAGCTTGTTGCACAAACCCCCCATGTTCTGATTCCGCTCTAAAGCCATCCAACACAATGCCACATATCATAGCTAGGCAAGAAATGAAGAGTGTGACCATAAAGGCTACGTATAAAGAAGATATTATTCGGTTTCGTATATCTATGAGTTCTGGTATTGTGGAGCTGAAAGATGAAGTGGCAAAGAGATTAAAACTGGAAATGGGCACATTTGATATCAAATATATGGATGATGACCTGGAGTGGGTTCTGATAGCCTGTGATGTAGACCTGCAGGAGTTTATGGAAATTTGTAGATCATTAGGCAGAAATATGATCCGACTCTCGGTTCATGACATTATGTCCAATTTTGGAAGCTCTTGCGGGAGCATGTAGGAATCAGGATTAAATTGTAAATATGTTTAGTAACTTAGTTTAAGTGAAGATATAAGTACTTTTTCTTTTCTATTTTTTTTGTCTGACAAAGTGTAGGTATTGATTCTTTGAGGTTGCTTCAGTTTTGCCCCCTCATTGCCTCGATTTCAATGTGTTATTTGTTACAGTTGGAAAGAAAAATATCTACGCACATGTTAATCAGATTGACATGCAAGCATTTTCCTTCTGATGTTACCTCCTTTAGCCTCAACATTGCAGCTGTCTGAAGTACCGTTTATAAGAGCTTGGAGCATTAGCTACTCTCTACCACCACAAAATGCGAGAGACTTGTACGTCAAGTGGTTAAGGTGCCTTACAATCAGGCCATTATTTCGATGCTACCTCCTTAATATTTCTTGCATTAAAAGGGGAAAATATAGCCACAAAACAAAAAGCTGGTTTTTTTTTATAAACAAGGCTTCTGCCTTGATCCTTGATCATTTAAAGGTAAACATAGATACATGGTCCTCATGGTTCCTGGTACAATTATGAAATTATAACATTTCATATGGCATAAGTATAAAGTCACTCATGCCACAGAATGACACAGAAAACCATGTAACCATGTATCTGTCGTTATGAAATGAAACTATTTGTTCCATAGTGACCATATTGTGGTCTCACACAACACAAACATAAATAAAGTCCGACCTTTATCAAAAACTTATATTTCTTTCATAGGGTCCGCTTGTCCGACTCATTGGACGGCAGCGGAGATGATACACGGCGGAGTTGCTCATGTCCCGTGGTGAGGAGCACTACCATTCTGAGTAGTACGACCCATCTTTTTGGGTTCATCTCCGTCGGAAACCACCTCTGTCAAACTCACCTGCCTACCTTTCCTTTCTGCCAACAGTCGCTTTGTATTCTTGTAGTATGTGGCGTAGAGAATCAGCTGGCCCGACCCAAAAAGTAAGCCCAGCCCATTGGGAATCTGAAAATGAACACATCACAGGCCTCATTTATTTTATTTTATTTTAGGGGTAAAATGGGGGCCGAAGATCAAACACAAAGAAACTACAAAGAATTTTTTTATATTTATTTCATGAAGAAACCCGTGTGCATGTTTGCCTTTTCAGGTTTATCCAGACCCAAAAGGACATAAGCAATAAATGCATGGAAATAAATAATTCGGAAATGTTTTTAATTATTTTAAAATATAAAATTATTTGTCCATTAATTTATATTTTAGATGGATGGAGAATTATTATAATTAGAGTTTGAGAACTTTACAGTCAAGAAGATGTCGAAACGGATGAGAGCAAATGAAAACCAGGCAAGACCATTGGCAAAGGAAAATAACGAGAGGCAAAACGGCATGAATTCCACACTCTTTGTTGTAATCACCAATTTCTGTCACGCACAAGAAACACAATAGAATTAGAATATGATCAAATGAGAATAATTTAAAAAAAAAAATATGATTAGGGTAATTACTTACCATGACAGCGAGAGGTGAAGCATACATCATGATGTTACATAGAATGCAAACGATGCCCACAATAAGTGACCTCCTCTCGTGTGTATGGGCCACAGTGAGAACCATGAGGACAAGAAGAGCCATGAGTATGAGCTCCACAAGTAAACCCAGAAGCACTTTGAGCCTCTGCTTCTTGTCAGACGCGTAGATGAGGAAGAGGATGATGTAGGAAAGCTCAATGAAAATGGCAGAGCCATTGATGGTCACCACCAGAATACTGTGGGGGTGCACTATAGGCAATCCGTAGAGGGCCCACACCATGCAGTTGGCTAGGGTTGCAAGGTATGGGGCTGGTGAGTATTGCTCCACTGAACCTTTTTTCCATATTCGAACAAAAGTCGGCCTGGAAATGAGAATTATTAGTGTACTGTGTGTTAGGACAAAAATGTTGTCAACTTCAAATATGGGAAAAAGGGATGAGGTGGAGGTCCTAATTATGGCAACACATCTTTTATTAATGGTGCTATATACCCAAAAGTATAATTCAACTTTACTTTTTCATTGGGATAAATACGAGTAAATTCCCTTCCAACCTTAATTATGGCAAATTACAAATTTAAGATATAATTATGACTAATACCATTTATCTAAAAATGCCGTGATTGTTTGGTGTTGGATACCAATTTACTCGTATATAGTTTGGTATCACTAAATATCAAGACGATATTGACAAAATATCAACTAAATATTCACAATATATCGGATACTGTAAATTAGTACCGGTATTAAACCATCTTGAGAAAAACTTAAGATAATGTAAAATCATGCATTTACCAAATTTTGTGTACAATTCAACAAAATTTTAATACCTGTAAATTTGTTTATATTCTCTGTTTTTTTTAAAAAAAAATATCACTCTGCCTTGAAGAATTAAAGAAATGGAGAAGAACCATGCTTACACTGGTGACAGGAACAAAATGAGTGAGATAACGTTTCCTGAAAAAATAAGCAAAAATAAAACAATTGCCGACATCAAGTTTGAATCTCAGAAGATAAAGCAATCTATATATACATGAAACTGAAAGAAATGAACTTCAATTCCTCACTCTACACTTGTTTTGAGTTTAAAGATGCTAATTACACTCTAATTAACTCACCTATGATACCGACCACGGTTCGAACAACATCTGGAGAAACCATGGCTGTGACTAAATCTACTTAATTAAGCTAACTGAAGAAGAAGGAAGAAGGAAGAAGAAGAAATAGAAAGAAAGAAATAAGGTGATGAAACTAGATGAGCTGAAAGGAGAGTGAGATGGAAGGAAGGAAAGAGAAAATGAGGGACAGGAGGATTGTCTTGTTTAGTTTTGGTGGTTTGGATTGTAATTTGTAACCCTCAGAGCTGTTAGGTCACTTGCATGGCATGTATTGGGTGGTGCAACTTATAGCAACACATGGAAGAGGATCAAGTGCCCTTTAAACGATTGATTTTAAGGGAATAATGCCCTTCATCCAAAGGATGAGAGAGAGAGAGAGAGAGAGAGAGAGAGAGAGAGAGAGAGAGAGAGAGAGAGAGAGAGAGAGAGAGAGAGAGAGAGAGAGAGAGAGAGAGAGAGAGAGAGAGAGAGAGAGAGAGAGAGAGAGAGAGAGAGAGAGAGAGAGAGAGAGAGAGAGAGAGAGAGAGAGAGAGAGAGAGAGAGAGAGAGAGAGAGAGAGAGAGAGAGAGAGAGAGAGAGAGAGAGAGAGAGAGAGAGAGAGAGAGAGAGAGAGAGAGAGAGAGAGAGAGAGAGAGAGAGAGAGAGAGAGAGAGAGAGAGAGAGAGAGAGAGAGAGAGAGAGAGAGAGAGAGAGAGAGAGAGAGAGAGAGAGAGAGAGAGAGAGAGAGAGAGAGAGAGAGAGAGAGAGAGAGAGAGAGAGAGAGAGAGAGAGAGAGAGAGAGAGAGAGAGAGAGAGAGAGAGAGAGAGAGAGAGAGAGAGAGAGAGAGAGAGAGAGAGAGAGAGAGAGAGAGAGAGAGAGAGAGAGAGAGAGAGAGAGAGAGAGAGAGAGAGAGTGTGTGTATGTGTTTGCCTTTGGCTTTGGCACTACCTTCAAGATTCTCAGAACCCTAACGTTACCAGACTCTCTGCTAGCAAACGTTACAGGGCTTAGAAAGTGACTTTTATTAATAAAAAATTATCAGAGGTTTTTTCATAGATTTATCCATTGCTTTCCCACTGAATCCATTATTTGGGTGCATTTTTGCTATTTGGGTCCACAGAAGTCCAGTTATTAGTTAATTTCTTGATTTTTTTGTGCAAATTTACAGTGATTAAAAGAGCATGAAAAAGTTGCCTCGTTAGAAAAATCACGTGGGATAAAAAATTCACATTTTTTACTTTTATAAACAAAATATATATTAATTTTTGTACCACATAGCTAGCTAGTCAAGTTTAGTTGGTGCAATTTTTGATGGTACAACTTAGATCAGATGCTCCATATAATTACGGATTCGGCTTTCTTTTTTATATATTTTATTTTCTTCTAAGAATAATTCTGGAGCAGAGCAGGTGGGGCTTAGATTTTTTGTTTTTTTCAATAACTGGACGACCATCGACTTCCTTTTTAAAAAATAAAATAAAATAAAATTCCAATTTATCATTAGCGAAAAGGAAGAAATTAAATTCGAGAGGTCCACATGACAAGTACAATGGTGAGTGACAAGTGAGTCACACCGTCTAAGTTCGAATGTGAGTTGGTCATGCATTCAATTAACGTTGCCTATTATTAATCATGATATCTTGTTTTTGTTAAGTAATAATTAACTTGCATTTTAAGTTAATAAGTTAATTTAATTAGCATCAAGTTCAACTCAAAAGCATGTGTACAAAATCAGTTCTAATAATAACAAATATGAATGAGATCCGACTCTATCACAATCCCCAAAAAGAGAGAGGGATGTGATAAATAATACGAGTCCAAATATCATTGTTGATCATATCTTATACGAGTCTCCATATCGCCTTTTTATAAGAGATGTGATAAATAAATATGGTTAATTACAGTTTAGTACCATGTGGCTATACCCTTAAGACACATCAGTCTTTATTTTTTCGATTCTTACAATTAGATACTCCGGTCTTTTAAATTTATTTCAATATGGTTCCGCCGTTAGGGTTTTTGTCAGATCTCACCATTAGTTGTCTACGTGGCATTATAGGGCCCACATCTTCACTTTTTTTAAACTTTTATATTAACTTGATCTTGATTTGTAGCACGGGGGACATTTAATCTGGCCAAAAAGAACTAATATCAGATACACAGGCATCAAGATTTCAGTTAAAGTGAGTGAGCTTGCTGTCCAAAAAACGACTAATAACAGACACATATAGACTAATAATTAGGTCACGCTGTCCACAGAATCGACCTTAAAGCCGTCCAAAAATTTCAGAGACAGTTAACTATCTTTTTCGTTGAAACTGTTGGAGAATATATAGGTTTTGTAAAGGGTTTTTTTTTTACTTGTGTTTTTTTGTGCGTGGAGGTTTTGTAATAATTTTTTAAGGTAGGCCTAATGGCCAATGTCCAAGACCGATTTGCATGAACAATTCTCTCTGCTTTGATACGATTCTGTTCATCAAATCATCCAGAAGGTGCCCTGCTACGTGCACAAAATAGAGAAATTGCACCATTATTATATATAATTCCACTCTCACTTTGATCATGATGGTAATATTCT